CCCCACACCCACACCCACACCTAGTATCAAAAGCTGTATAACGATGTTCATTTTATTGAACTTAAATAGGTATATTAAACAAGGTGAAGACGAGATAACCAATGAAACATAATGATAATTAGACTATTATCTAATATGCAGAAAATAATCAATTATACTATAAACTAACTATATTATTTCTATTATAATATTTTGAATTTAAAAAGAAAATATTTTTAAAAAACGTTTTGTCCAATAGATGACGCCATATTATGCTTCTCTTTAGGAATAAACACGTATTATGCGACGAAAATATTCAGATCAATATTTCACTTTCTTTCTTAATTTTTTCCAGAGTTGTTTTGTGTATCTAACAATATGAATCAGAAATTGAAACTAATCAGAGTATTGGTATTCGAATTCGATCGATATTTGAAAAATCTAGAATTCTATTAAATTCGACTTCATCAAAGTTCTACTTGATTGGATTCGACGTGAACTTTGATGAAAAAAAAAACGTAGTATCATTTACGTTCGTTGTTTATTATGTTTTAATGTCTTCTTTTCAACAACTGTCTATCTGACTGTTCACACGTTGAGAACTTAGTTTTTCGTATTTTATCTATCCATACATATTCATAGAATAATTCCATGAGAAGTCAACGACAAAAAACACTAAGTATTTAGTATTTTTCTCTTTGTAGAACGTTTTTGTTGTCGATCATTTCGATAAAATACTTTTTTATATTAATAAACGAGAACGTTATAGTCAAAATAGTAAAGACTACAGTATAGCTTAAAAAGTGATTTGTTCTGATAAATAAACATAAAAAATTGATTTGCATATCTCAAAATGCCTATATTATGAAGACATAAATAAGAATGGATCAAAGTGAGAGAAATAAAATTTTTTATTTTTATTTTTCTTATTGTTATTGTCTTTGTTTAAGTTTCAAATGATAATGATTCAACAATGCTAAGAGAACGAGCCAGAGTCAATAAAATAGTTTTTTTGTTGTTTTGAAGGAAGTTTTTCAATATGGATTATGAAATTTATTTGTTTTTTTGTGAAACTCAATCTTTCTGAGAAACAAGAACTTTTTGATTCATAAGCAGAAAACTAACAAGCAAAGATCTTTTTTAAAAATACTTATTCAATGATTATACTGCGTTTACCTTTGTTCTTTTCGATTCAAGTTCTTTCTGACATTATCAATTAATCATTTAAAGATAAAAAAAAAACATGAAAAAAAGAGCAATTAATAATTACTCACACAACCCATCTAATGATTTTTGAAAGAAAATAGTATAGAAAGATATAAAGAGACGAAACAGCAGACGATCAAAATAAAAAATCATGAGTTCTATCAGTATATATACTCCTGCATTATTTTTGAAGAGAACGAAAAACTATGTGTTAAAATATACTTTTTGTCAAATTACAACTTGAATACAAACTCGAGCTTCTATTGGAAAAAAAACAACTAAGATTTTTCGGTGACTCATACAGAAAATAACCAACGAATAAAAGAACCTGAGCTAAAATTTGAATAGAACACTGTGAAAGCAATAAATAAACATACACTATTTTTTTTAAGTATAGCGTCTTGAGATGAATTGAATATCCAATTTCTTCAGATAATGCACATATCGCTGTGCTAGCTAATGTTTTTATAGGGGGTGTATAATTTGAACAAAAATCTTGAGAATATAATAAAAATATGAATCGAGAAATGGAAATAATTTAACAGAGTGGTAATCTCGAAGTATCATCTCATCTACAGCTTTTTCAACTTGTTGAAGATGTCTTCTACAAAAAAAACTTCGTCAAAGTCATCTGAACTGGTTTCTTTGTTACTCAACTATTTCTTTCTTTCGTAATATTGAAACATATTCTGCTGTGCCACACCCACCCTAAAATTGATCTCTACACAAGCATTTTCAATTGATTTATTTTCGACTATGATACCGTGAAGTGTTTCTCTAAATCGTAGCAGACTCTTACGTCATAAAACGATATTTACTCAAAGTTTTCTCCAAAAAAGATGCATTAAAAAAGCATTCTTGCGCATTTGAGAAAAACGTCGGTTTTTCAATAAAAAGCATGCATTAAACAAGGCGTTCAAACATGTTAATAAAAAAAAAACGTTTTTTACTCAAAAAAGCACGTTGAAAACAAATGTATTCAAACGTCTTTGTAAAAAATTTTGTTTTCGGCAAAAGAACTCGAGGAAAATAGATTCAGATGCACGACTAAAAGACACGTCCTCACGGGTGTGGGTGTGGGTGCGTTTGAGAGAAGAGATCACATTCACACTCACACACCCACACCGACACCCCTCACCCACACATCGTCGATTAATACTCTGCGTAGTACATGTAAAGACGAAAGTTTATACGAGTGGCCCTATTTCCATAGTTATTTTTTTCTGGAAAATACAAATAATAATTGGTTATAGTTCGATAAAAAAAATGATTTCCAGGTTTTGTCGTGGATAGTTTTGCCGTAAATATTGAGCACTTTACTTGTGCTGAAAAAAGCTTATGGTCGATAGCTCACTATTAGACGCAAAGACTTAGTGATATTGACGTGTAAAGCACTCATTTTTCTTTCATAGGAAACATTGTACTATTTACTGATAAGCTCAGTACTTAAAAAGTTCCTTTGACAGTAGTGCAAGACTTTGCTTTCAAAACATCGATGCACTTGATAGGCAATCTTAATCCACCTTGATTTCACTTTACATAGACTACACGATATTGTCTGATTGATTTATGATTCTATTAGTGATAATGCCGAAAGATAGAAAAAAAACGAGTTGTTGTATAGTCTGATAAGAATGAATATTTTTAGGATGTTAAATAACGTTACATATGCATAATCAATAAAGTATAAACTCCATTTCGTCCTCAATGATAATCTCACCTATTGCCATACATTACTCACGATTTTTTTTGTTTCACTCAATGTGTTAGCAACTTACGTTTTATTCAACCATCAGCAAAACAGATAATTTAGTCATAATGTTACTATGCATGACAAATAAGCCCTTACGTAAAACAGAAATAACATAGTACAATAGGAAAAATAGCTTTGTTTCATACTAAAATAATCTCATAGATGAAATGCTCTGACTTCCTAGAAATACTGTGTCTTATCAATAATGACACAATATTAAAGAAGAGTATTTCAATTCGTCAGAATTATAATTGTACCTAGTATTTTTTTGTTATTCAAATTATAACATTAGCGATTACTGATCTCTATTTGTTTAATTTTTTGAAGTACAGAAATCAACGCTGATCTTTCTAGATAACCGGAAAAGACAAGCACTTAGTTCATCTCTGTACCTCCTCTAGAGAAGTAACTGTGAATAGAGCAGACAAAAACATAAGGTCTCCTTGCTTCTAAAACGTTTACATTTTTCAATAGCAAAGTAAAAGAGAAGCATTTTTTCGGGATGTGAAGCTACTCAATTCATATGAGATGAAAGGGTGTGGTTATGAACTTTCACTTTGTATGCACCCACACCCAGACTCTTTATCTATCGGATACACTCTTATCTAAGTGTTTGTTAATAACGAAAATGTTTATCGTCTAGTTATAAAGTAATCACATTAATCAAACTATCGAAAATTTTCAAATATAAAAAGATATTTTTGAAAATTAATATAAAAGCATACTATTTTGATTTTCAAAGTCTATGATATTTGTTGATTTTTCTTATTAAAAAATGTATATATAATTTACCTTACAATATAATGAACGAATTTCGATTATAATTAATAAATGACTCATTTTAAAGCAATCAAGTCCAACTGTTTTGCTTGATCTTGAAGGCAATTTTGATCTTATTCTGTGTTCATTCAACTGATCTTGTTATCAAACACTTCTATCATTGACTTTATTGTAAGTTCTTAGAATATGAAACAAGAAGAGTAGGATGTATATGTTAGTACTGGTGATTGTCTTGTTCGCACATACATACCTACACCCTTCGTGTGCATTACGAAATCTAAAAATGGTTTCACTCGGTTTCAAATTCTTGAAATTGTTTTTTCTCAGGTAAGTCGTTAAAAAAACACTGTCTAGGATATTTTTAATGCTTCGAATAAACTATGATGTAAACTAGAATGAATGTACGTGAATGTCGGTTCAAGCTTCACCAACACCCCACGATTCATCTAAACTCACATTTACACTTGTCTAGGTCTTAAAAGTAGACTTAAGCTTATTTAAAGTCTTGATTAAGCTTAAACCTATTACTCTGATCAGTAACGACATTGTGGTATTTACAGTAATATCTCAAAAACAACTGTGGTGTAGAATAAGACACAAAAGTACTATTGAAAAGCCATGACTTCAATAAAAATATGATTATGATTAAATAATTTTATTTTGTAAATCTTTCTATACAAAATACAACCAGTCTCTCATTAGAAAGGTTGGTTACGAATAGCATTCTGTCAATAAACAGAAAACTATGTTTTATACATAAGTTTAAACGATTTCTTTCAATCGTTGGCATATATAGGCGTCAAGGATTGTAAAGTTGTTATTTTGATATTCTTCAGGTTTAAACACTTTTTCTGCATTTGCCATTTGAACATCACGCCGTTTTAAATATTCAGCCCAAACCAAGTTATCAAACCATCGAGAAAATTTATCAGTAATTATCACTTGTGAATCTAATACTGCAGGGTGCACTTTAGACGTCCGTCGAAAACGTTGCATACGACAACGAGCTTGTGTCGAATCAAGAAAAACTCGAATATCAAACATTGATGTTACATTGTTTGATAAAGCAAAAAGAAGAAAACCTTCCACAACTACAAAAATAGGATTATTTTTCTCTGCAACAGGGTTCATTTGATCAAAAGGAGTTCTTGCCCACTTGTCTTTGATTTGACGGAGTGAAGTGAGAAAAGCCGTGATATCTAACGTTTCAGGTTGCTCAAAACTCCGAATCCTCCCAAGAATAGGATGATCAATATAGATTGGTTTTGTAAAATAATCGTCCAATGAGATTGGTGGAATGGGTGATTGGAGATACTGGACCAAGTGGTTTGCATATGTCGTCTTTCCGCAACCGGATGGACCAGCGATGCCAATTAGAATGACTCTTTAATGAAGAGAAAAATATTGAATTTTAGAATTGTAAATAAAATTCGATGGAGAACAAGGTGCATTTGGTCTATGACTTTTCACATGATGTTACGGAGGAACTATGAAAAGATATTGTTTTACAATGAATCAGAGTTTCTTGATGTTTGATTACGGATGGTTACCTAGTTGAAGATGCCCTCTATGGCTGAAATCACTAGTATCTTAAAACAATGAATCTTTCTTTAATGTTCACAACATCTTCTTCTGACGATGCGCAGTTAGTTCTCAGTCGATTTCGTATTATAACTTTGAGTTATTCGGAAGTGCCCTACATACTAAAGATCAAAAAGTAACATCTACGTTTTTCATATGTATTCTTCCAATCGCTCATTAGAGTCCAGGTTCGCCTCAATATATAGTGAAGACAAATCATGACTACTTGACAAGAGTCCTTTTACTTTTTGCCTTACCTTCTGATGAGATGTCTGTTAAGTTGATCAATGACTTGTTTTTGCACAATATCACGATTAGCGCCAACAACAATATCAACACCATGCTCTTTACATTGTTGCATATTGGCTGTCAAACTATTGACAACCATAAGAGGACGATAGTTTAATCTGTTTTGCTTCCAGATTTCTTTCATTTTGTCTAACATTTGAAGCCCATTGAGAAGTCCTCGTTCTCGTCGTTTATCACGTTCCATCATACTTGTGATCACGCACTTGATATTTTCTAATTTCAAATGTTGCTCGAGAAGAGCATTCAGTGCATCAGCCGTCTCATTGAAGCATGTCACATTCCAATTTTGATCTCGAAATAAACTTGTGCTCTGGTAAATATTTGGATCGGAGTCAACCCATATGATGTTGATCTGTGAGTCAATGTTCATGTTTATACAAGCTTCAATAGGAATTCTGTCCGCATTTTTTTCTCATCAATTCTTAAATAATATGTTCGTCAAAGCAAAAAAAAACGGTCTGAATATGACTCATTTTCGTTGGCTTTTTCACTTTCTATATGGCTTTGTAAATTTGCCATGATAAGAGGTAAAAATGTGCGTCATTCATCGTCGTTCTACGATTTTTTTGCTGCACAAATAAAACATTTATTCAAATGCAGCATGTGTACGGGAATCAACTTTCGATAAAAAAAGAGGATCAACATACGTATTGATCGACTTTGTTTTTCTTTGCAACCAAGTTTTGATCATATTGATGTAAAAGTCATTATTTTCTTTTACTTTCTGACATCTAGAGCCATTTCAACTGTCTCTTATTTACATATATTCTATAACAAGTGTCATATGATACCAACAAAATGGGAATTTGAGGGTGTGCGTGGGAGCGGTGTGGATGCGAGTGAATGTCGATGTGAGAAAAGATACACAAATTCACACCCACTTTTATTATTTGATAATGAAATAGAGAAAGTTAACATATTTCCGATTCTTGAACATACCATATAAAAATTTTCTACAATGATCGTTATAAGTTGCAATATCCATTTTGACTACACCTTCGACACCTTTCATAGAAGGTGTTTAATCTATTTCATATAGATATTTAAAACTATCAACTTACGGAAATAAGGAAAGAATAGATCATACAACAGATAAACGATGGGAAACTAATAAAAGCAAGATGGGTGTGGGTGTGGGTGTGGGTGTGGGTGTGGATGTGGGTGTGAGTGTGGGTGTGGGTGTGGGTGTGGGTGTGGTGTGGGTGTGGGTGTGGGTGTGTGGTTGTGGGTGGGTATGGGTGTGAATGTAGGTGTAGCTTTTCTCTCCACCCACACCCAACGCCGACACAGACACCCACAGCCCACACCCACACCCACACCCACACCCACACCCACACCC